CCCATATGTTCCACACTATAAATCTCTACAGAAAGGTTTTCTAAGTCTTGTGAGAGGCATTTGAACAAAAATATCTACTTCCCTACTGGTATTTAAGACTAAAGAGGATATCTCTTGATGATAGGTCCATTTCTTTCTCTGAAAGTTCAGTACTTGGTTCAGATCTAGTTTATCTGACATTCCTCACTACTTCCTTACTAGGAAAAAGCTTTACTAACCTTTTAACTATTTTTCTGCCTGTGGCTAATAATACTTGTACTTAATAGAATATTCTTTGCATCACCCAGGTTTTTAACTTTAGTGCTGCTTGGCATATTCTCTTCCTCAAATATCCAGTCACTAGATACTATTGATTCTTCCTTAACATCATATTTTTTCTTGCTGTCATTTCCACTGTCATCACTGTAATCCAGGTCCTTAACCCACCCTCACCCCCAGGCCTGAATTATTGCAGTGGCCTCTTAAATCATCTCCCAACCTCTAATTGCTTCCTTGCTAATCCAGTCTGTCAGCCACCAGATGACTTTTCCTAAGATGCAGCTTGGATTGTGCATCTCCTCTCCTGCATGACCTTCATGGGTACTAAATCCAAACGAATCAATTGACCTGCATATATAGTTCCTGGAACGTAATATGTGGTCAATAAATCACCTACCTCCCCAGTCATCTTTAGTCACACACCCCCTGCAGTGCTTGTCTTGTGGCTGGTGGTCATGCAGATTCTTACTGTGCTGATTGCTGTGTCCTCCCCACCCAAGTCCCCTCATCAAGACTCTACCTCTCTTCAAGACCCACCCTAAATCCCTGCTACAGAAGCCTTCCCAGTTATAGCCCTTGATGCCTGAATTCCTGCAGTACTTATTGGGCGTCCACTTAATACTGAGCATGCACTCTTTGTGCTGCCTTTACAGATTAGGGGGCCTTCACCTTGTATTCCTCTGCCCCAGTGAAGTGCCCGGGGCAGGTGATCAGGGCACACAGCTCCTCTACTTGTCCAGAGCCTGCCGACCTCTGTACAGCATGGTCATCTTCACTGCTGTGGTTTTTAATGGGCTGAAAACAGACTTGTATAAGTGTTGGCAATGAGTTAATTTGCAGATTGGTAGAGTTGGGGGCATGGAGTAGGGGATGAGAATGGATAAAAAGGTCTGACTATAAATCTCTAAATTAGCTAAAAGTTTTTGTTTAATTATAGTCCTTTCCTTTCTGGTTCCTGGAATAACAATCTCTCTCCCTGAACATGCTTTGTGACATTTTTTGTATAAATTTTATCTTTCTTGTGCATATGTTTTCATTATAAGTCATCTGAAACCTCCTCGGAAGTAGCTGGGTATGAATAATTTCTCTGAAAGTCTTATTGACAGAGCCAAATATAGTATTCTTGATTTTATTCTTTAGCCTCCCTTTATATTGGTTTCCACTCAGATTAAATCTTATATTCAACGAAATAGATGGAGATTTATTAATGGCTTTAAACCTGTATCTCCAGAGTTAATCTTGGAGCCTTCTAATCTTCTTCTAAATTTTAAAGTCTGGACTGCAAGGAGAATTTTCAGGGGGAAAAAAAACTTTTGTGGTTTGATAATTAAAATAATAAACTGAGCTCCAGGATGAGAGACCTACCCTTGAATGCAGGTCTGACACCTGGTGGGGCCTTTTCCACCCTTCATTTTACCCATCTCTGAGGAAGAAGCATTTTCTCTTTTCCTTTGAAGATCACCCTCTGCTTGTCCTCCTGGTCTTATTCCTCATATCTTATTCCGTTACCCTCTTTTCCTGTACTGTTATTCTCCTTCCTCCATGGGCCACTTGTGCTCTGACTATATGATCAAATTTCTCCTATCCTATAAAAACTTTCCCTTGACCCCAAATCTCCTGAAAACAACCCCTCTTCTCTTCCTTCCCTAGCCAAATATCTTGAAAGAGACACACTGTCCACTTTTCACTTAAATAATATTTATTGAGTGTCTACTTATCCCAGACATGATGCTAGACATTGGGAATGATGGCAGACAAGACACCACCCAGGCCTCCTGTCCAAGGCTCAGCCCTTGCCATGCCACTGAAACAGCTCAGACAAAGCTTCTGGGGACCTAGTCCCCAAATTCTGTGGCTCTTCTCAGCATCCGCCTCCAGCAGTACGAGACACCTTAACAATGAGTAGTAACATCCTCAAACCTAATAGCTCACACTTAGAAATCATCCTCCCTGTTCAAGGCCCTGTGATGAGTACAGAGAATCTGCCTTTGAAAAGCTTACACATAGAATATCGTGTAGCCCAAATACACAGGGCTTCCCCTAAGTCCAGTTTCATAGGGAAAATACTTTTAGAGAGGCAAAAGCTTTTATTCACAAAACTTTCTTTATATGCCTACCATTGATCTCAATATACAAATTCATATGTATTAAACAGCAAATACTTGGGGAGTGACATCAAGGGTAAGAATGTAACATCCTTTTATAACACATTTACTGCTGCAAATGTCCACCATTCCTGATTTCTCTGTGCATACCAGCCCTGCCAAGTGTCCCCCAGAATAAAAATTGTCTGGACTTTTTCTCAGTCATAGGCCTGAAAACCCATAGAAATAGAAAAATACAAATTATGGTTTGTTGAAATGAAAAAAATATGAATTTTCCTAAGATTCTGGGTAAAAGAATTGTTCACATTTTGCTGTCTCATTAGCCCCCATATCTGCCAATACAGGTTCTCTGCTCCCTGTCAAAGGCCCCCTCTTCCTTCTGAGTCCCCAGAGGCTATCTTTAGTGTGTTCCACCCAATAGCATCTGCTACTGTTCCTGAGTTCCATGACAAGCAAGCTCCCAAATCCTTGGAGAAGCAGAGCTGTGTCTTTGGTAGAGAAGAGCTCTCTGTATTTCGTATTATGGAATAGGGTCAGGAGGTCCCAAAGCATTGTTGCTTAGGCCCCAACATCTTATGGAAGTGTTAGTGAAACCAGTTCTTATGTTTTTTATACTCTCCCTCTAACCTCAGTATGAGTCCAGAATGGGGACCAAACTATCCTCAGTGCTTCTGCCCTCTATGAGGCTATTCCTGGGTTAAACTACTCTCGCTGCATCCCACCCACTCCTCTGATTCACCCAGGTATGTCTGCACCCCAGAAATAGGATCCAGGCTCAAGCTGAGGCAGAGTTCCCCATTACACACAGGTATCAGTACAAAGCTCTGTCCATGCTAAGGCCAGGCAAATGGGCCTGATGTAGAAGCCCCTGGAGCCCAGCAACAGCAAGTTCCCTGATGAGCCACAGTTGAGGAATGACTCCTGAGAGATAGGGAAAGGACCTGCTGTGAAAGAGCTCACCCAAGCTCTTAGCTTGTAGCTGCTTGACTCCTTATCCATGTCACCAGGAGTTTTACTAAAGGAATGACTTAATGAACACAAATCCTGCCAGTAACTTCTGGTTGTTCCTGAGTGTGACAAAGTGAGCCTCTTCATCCTCATGGGGTGAGGCTTGCTAAGGACACCTATTTATTCCATCCCCTTAGGACAAGCCATAGCCCTTCTGCCAGGGCCACCTACTATCTATTCATGCAAATTAGAAAGAGGTGCCCCTCCTTCGGATGGATCCAGCTGGGGATGAAAAAACAGCTTCCACCAAACATGCCCCCCTCAGATTCTCCAGAGCAGACAGCTATTGGGGGAAGAAGAATGGCACATCAGAGCCATCATGACCTGCCTTTTACAGGGGAAACAAGCCCAGAGAGGAGAACGAACTTGCCCAAGGTCACACAGTGAGTCACTAATAACAAGAGTACAGCTCAGGTCTCCTAAAGCCCAGCCCATGTAATGTCCACAGATCATCTCAGGGTGTGATAAGCAACAGTTTCATGGCCCAATCGGAGGACCCAGGGCTCCCTTCCCCAGAGAGCAGAGCAGGCTCAAGGACTGACAAACCCAGACCCAAGTTCCCGTCTCTCTCACTCAGTGTTCTTTTTACACATGTCCTCTACCCAAGACAGGGAGGAGCTCATTCCTGGGTACTCATGGGGGTGGGGGAGGGGTGGCGATGACAAAAGATGAGGACATAAATGGATCACTGAGTAACCGTTTCTGCAGTCCAGTCCCCTCGTCCCCAGTACACATGGAGAACTGCACTTCTGGTCTACATAGAACAGTGCTTCTTAAACCCTGCTGTGCACCAGAATCAAAAACATAGATTGTTGATTGTCTTCCCCTAAAGTTTTTGATTCAGTGGGTCACATGTGGGCCTGAGAATCTGCATATCTAGCAAGTTCCCAGGTGATGATGCTGCCACTGCTGATTTGGGGACCACACTTTGAGAACCACCAGCCTAGTCCATCTTTGGTCTTCTTCCCATCCTCCAAAGCATGATGGAATGAGCGAGGCTCTGCGGGAGACCTGGGTTCCAGTTCCAGCACTGTCACTGACTAAGTATGTGACCCAGGGCAAGTCATTTCCTGTCTCTAAGCCCAAAGAGAGGCAGTGAGATACCCCCACTGGCAGCTCCTCCCCAGTCAGGACCACATCAACCTGGGTTCATCTCTGTAGCCCCAGATCCTTTGTACAATCTGTGCTTGAAGAGATGCTGGTGAATGAATTTGACTTCGAGCTTCCTTCCAGCTCAGGCCCTAGGATTCTGACCTCTTCTCTCCAAATCTGAACTTTTCCCTCTCCAGTTGGACCAGATATTTGGGATCTTTCTAGGACAAGAGGAGGGGAGGATGTTCTGGAATTCAGGGCAGATTGTTGAGGTGAGAGAGCCCTGGAACACCCGTGAGCTGGGGGAATCAGGCCCCAGACAGCAGATACCTTACTTTCAGAAACAGCTGAGCGTGTGTGTCCAGGCCTAGGAGCATGGGGATCAAGAGAGGCCTACGGTTACACTCAGCCCCCGCACCGGCACAGGCTCCAGCAGGGGGCGCCAAAGAGAAGCGTAAGGCCAGTCCGGTCAGCGCCCAGGTGTCCAGTCGGGGGTGGGCGGGTGCACGTTAGGGGCGTGGACACCGCCAAGGCACACCCCGGCCGCACTTAAGGAGCTGAAGGCCAGTGCCAGGGAAGAAGGAGGAAGAAAGCCCCGGCTGCTGTTGACCCACTTGGACCCACACCTAGACAAAACCCGCGCCAAGCCCAGCCCCAGCTAGCTCTAGACTGCGCCATGCGGGGCCCCAGCGTGGCTCTGTGGCTCATCCTGGCTCTGCGCACTGGTGAGACCCCGCCGCCCGGCCCTGGGAGTAGGAGCTGGGCCGGGGGTCCTGGAGTTCTCCAGATACACACCCACCCAGGAGGGTCCCGCGGGCTGGAAAAAGTGTCCTGAACCTTTGTCTCCCAGGAAGCGGGGAAGGCTAGAAAGGCGCGAGGCGCGAAAAAGGACCGGGGAGGGAACGAGCGCTGACCCGGGCAGACCAGGATGTCTGGAGGGCTTCTTGGAGGAAGGAGAGGCACGGGCAGAGGCGTGGAGGGGAGAGCCCTGGAGTGTCGGGGCTGGGGGGAGGTCCGGAGGGTGAATGCTCTTGATGGGCGAGGAAGCCCAAGGAGGGTTTGGGAGCCGGAACGGCTCTACTTCTCCTGAGCCCCCGTGGGGAGGGAGGCGGGAAGATTCGGAGGGGAGGAGGGGAGAGACACTGCCCGGGAGAGGGCTCCAGGGCGCCCTGCATGGGTGGGGGGTGGGAGGCGCAGACCGGGACTCCTCGCGTCAGCACGGGCCGCTCCCAAGGAATTCACGGTCCCGGACGCTGAGACGTGAGGCCGGACCTCCGGGAGAGGCCCGCGGGGATCGCGGGAGGAGGCTGCTGAAAGGATGGCTTCAAGCCACCGCTCTGACCTCGCCAGTACAAAAAACGGACCTGCCACCCCGGTCCGGGCCCGGCAGTTGCTAGGCCTACCAGGGTGCAGCCTTGGAGCACTGGAGAGGGCGAGGGCACCTCCACATTCCAGGGGGCCACACGGAGCCAGGGGAGGCGGAGGGGGCCAAAGGGAGGCTATGGAGGAACCGGCAGTCTTGACCCTTGGGGTGGGGATGGAAAGCACAGGCTGCCTTGAAAGGTTCCCTGGCAGGTGGAAATGGACCCAAAGCCTCAGGCTTCCCAGGAGCACACGCATCCCTGGCAGGGCTGGCTGGGAGGGTGAGTGGTGGAGGAGCTCGGGTCTGCAAAGGCAACAACCTCAGGGAGCTGGGCACCACGTCTCCTGGGCCCCCAGGATCCCCAGATCACGGGACCCAAGAGGGTCCCCATCAGGAGGAGGGGCCTAAGAGGCAGTCCACTGAGGACCTTGTGTCCTGGCTCTACAGAGGTTTACTTACAACGCAGAAGGTGGTTTCCTCATCTGCTTTCTCAGATGACAAAACAGGCTCAGAGAGGTCAAATAGGTTACCTGAAGTCACCAGCTGGAGGAGCAGGAACTTGAACCCAGCCTGCTGACTCCTCACCCTCCCCTTGTCAGGGGCCTGGCACTGTGCCCACAGAGGGTAGGTCTGCAGGGGGCATAATCACAGATGCTCCAAAGGGTGCAAGGCTCCTCAAGGGCAGCCACAACCACTTCCCAGTCTCAAGTCCCAGTTCATGAGGAGGGCCCAGGGACACCACTGAGTGAGAAAACCCAGTCCAGCACCCTCTTGCTGGAGACACACGGACCCAAGAGGGACAGGAAACAGCCAGTGCTCCTTCCACCCACCAGGCTGTGCTCCAGGCCAGGGAGGGGCGGGCGGGGGAAGCCCAGCTGCTACCTAGGGAAACCCTCCCTGGCCTATGCAAAGGGCCTGGCTCTGAGCTGCGCTGGGCAAGTGCAGGGAGTGCATGGCCCACGCACAGCTTTGCCAGTGAGCCCAGCCCCCTCCCAGCCTGTGACGCCTCTTTGTGTCCCAGTACCCCACAGTGAGAGGGCAGGGCTGCTGCACAGGACTGGCTATACATGCTGATGGGACACATGGGCTAGGGCTGCAGGAACCGGGCCTCACTGTTCTCGCGCCACCCCCCCCACCCCCACCCCCACCCC